CCTATCTATCTATCTATCTATCTCCATCTATGTCCATCTATGTATCTCTATCTCTATCTCTATCTCCATCTATGTATCTATCTATCTATCTATCTATCGTTGAGAAGTACGTCTTGGGCCGTTGTTCTTCTACATGTGCTTGAGGCGCCAGCGAAGCTGAAGAAACCATCCGGCCACAGGTGCGGCGCGAGTCTGGTGGTCTGGTGGTCGGCCAGGAATGGCCTGTCGTGGTCTATGCAGATAACCAGAAATGGAAGTGAAGTTGTTTGCCACTTAAAGAAGCTATCTCCACTTGGAAAAGGTAGAAGTGGAGAATATCTTGGATAGGGAAGTGGGGGTTCCGAACGGTCAATGGTCTACCGAGTGAAGTCCGTGGATAAGCATGGAATCCATTCTCTAGGTCACAGAAGGGACTTGGAACTCGTGGCACGGCCACCCCACTCCAAGAAGAACGGGTGGACAGTTCGAGTTTGTTTACTTCACCTTTGATTTCTCAGTCATCCAGCCTCGGAAGGCGGTACAAAGGTGAATATAGGTCTACTCTGTGTCTTGGAGCACTCCAAGTGAGTCCAGCTCGAGCCTCCCAACCCTGGGGGTCCAACCCGGTCCGAACGGAAAACCTAGCGTTTGTTTGTCTTCCAAGCATGTCATGGCAGAACATCGCAGAGACTGTCTATCCCATACACTCCATGGGACTGCCATATATGCCGATCAGGTGGGGTGTTTTTTGGGGTCAATGTAGGCATATATGGCAGTCCCATGGAGTGTATGGGTATCATTTGTATTGCTACCAAAAGAAACACGAGTGTGGGCAACCCCTGCCACACGAAGTGCACAACTTTAAGAAACACCGGGTTTTCAACACAAACCCGCCAGGGGGGGCCCCAACTGACTCCTCATACGGCTCTGGCTGGTTCTTGGATGATCATGTAGACGGTTCAATTATACTTACAGTAAAACTTAAACCCCCCTACTGACACTATATATTTCAAGAGGCTCTGCACTCCATTAATAGCTGCGTACCCAATGGGGTGGCATAGAATCAACCATTTATGGTGGTGATTTTTCAAGACTCAGCCAAAAAGTCAGCGTGACGACTGTTGTTCGACTCAACCAGGGGGGTTTCGTCGGTCGCGTGTGGACATCTCCACCATCCGTGTGGTCATGACGACTCGGATGCAGTTCAGGTGAGTCCCACGCCATTGCCCTTCGTGAGCTATACCGGTCCAGCGACTTGGACCGTCGCTCTACCGGGCTCTACGATGGGAGAAGGAAGTCTACCAAGATGGCACTAAAGCATCTTAAAGGGAAGGCGTTCACCAAAGAATTCCCCTTCTGAAAAGAGGTGCAGCGTTCCCGAACAACGAAACCCACCGCAGGGTCTTCAAAGAATTGTTTTTAGGATCATGGGGGATCATGGGGGAATGTTAGAATCTATGCCTACTATATATGATATATATATATATGATGGCAGTCAGTCCATATCAGATCATCCCATGCTGGATGCGGTCGGGTCTTCGCTTTCCAAGGCGCGGGCCGCAGCTTCCACTGGCGCCGGTGTGAGGCCGCCGCCGAGGGTGGTGATTTTGGTCGAGGTCTAATGGCCTGGAATGGCACCTATCGAGTGAGCCTGGAGAAAGAAAGCTAGGATACTTTAATCAGGCGCGTGGCGTGTTGGTTTATGAAAGCCTTCAATCCCAACCCTTAAACTATCTTAAACCTATGTTTTCCAATGATGGTCAAAACATGTCAAAACTTAGATGGGCTAAGAGGCAAGGCTTGGCGAACGATCCTGACTCCGTTCCTAAGTGGATGATCCTTGTAGTATCTTGTAGCAAGTTGTCCACTTCCATTGGCCCCGATTGGGGTTATCTCCACACCCAAGGAGTCAGCGTTTGTCTCACGGGACACCGGTGACGACACGCATGGAGAAGCCCGTGGCGGCACGTCTCTTGGAGGAAACGACGGCACAGTCGGTCTCCCTCAACAAAAGGGCTCTCAGCCGCGATCTCAAGGTGGGTCTTCGCGACTGATCTCAGCCCCTGTGGGACTGACGAAAACAGACAAAAACAGTGGGACCCCAAAGGACCACACTTGGACCATCTTACTCTGAAGGGATCGACTTTTTTCGGGGTTTCCACCAGCTATTTGCGTCAAAACACCATGAAACACCATTGTTCTTTGAAACTTTTTCGGAAGTGTACTTGGTGTACTTGGATGGGGTGCAACTCGCGGTCCAATGGCGGTACGTTCGCGGTCGCGGTCAGGCTCCTGGTCAGTTTGGGATAGCCGAATCCAATATGACCGTGGAAAAGCAAGTGCCAGCAGTCACATGGATAGGGGTGCCGAACCTGGAGGATAGGGGTGCCCAGCTACTCCACTCACTGGATAGGACGAAGTCACTGCCCCTGTGTGACTCTTGATGTTTGTAAAGATTGTGCGATGAAAGATGATGAAAGTAAAGTCCAAGGGACTAAGCCATCCACTTCCATGTTTGGTGGGTCAGAGTGTATGTGTTCATTTCTGGAGATGGGTAGCATTCTAACCAACTAACGGTAACTAACGAGGCATTCCACAGCTGATAGCTGGCATGGTGGATGCAATTAGTACATTTATGGCCTGGAGCCTTCGTATATACGTATATTATATATATATATCACTTACACCATCAAGTAATATATTTTTGCTTGATCCCCTTGACATGATCCCAATGTATATTCTCCCAATGTATATTCCAATCCCTTGAAGTGTTTCGATATGAACTATGTGGCTTTTCAAAGAGCTCGAAGGTGTTTGCTGATCCATTTGACCGAGGCTGATGGGCAGCCGGTTGAGCTCTTCACAATTCAGGGGACGTCCTACAGAGGGACGACAGTCCAGGGGAGAAAAAAGCGAGACATGCGACGTGCGCCGCGGTTTGTTTCCTTGGGTGATGCGACGTGCGACGTGCGACGTCCATCTAGCTCCTTGACTAAAAACACTTAGAGTGGTTTCAGATTAGATGGCACGAACCCCAATATGTTCTTTAGATGGGGGGTCCAACTAAACCACCATCTACTTTCAACCAACTGCAAGTGATTATTGGTGATCAGACTTATTCTTTGGGAAACAGCTAACATCATGCCACATGTTGCGTTGGTTCGGCTGCTGTTCAAGAGTGGTCAGGTAAAAGAGTTGATTGACTAGACTTGAATGCGGGGATTGTCGCATATGGTCTCACTGTAATAATTTGATGACCAATCAAACCATGATACCACTGATACAGGGACCTTGCTGTATGACTAAACATGTTGCAAAGACTTCCCCAAAAGGATTCAGCAAACAAGGAATCACATTTGTTGGCTTTCACCTGCCGAATAGGGCTGATCGGGCTATGATTTGGCAGTTTGGAAGCTTGTTTCACATCTACTTACCCCTAGAGGTCATTTGCAGAAGTTCCAACCAATTTCCAGCGGCCCCTTGTGGCGGATGCGACAACTCTTACAGCACAAAGGTTGACCAACCCCACTTGGCCTATATAGCATATGCACTCGGGTAGAGTCCCACCATACCAGAAGGTCAATGAAGGTCATACAAGGTCTCTCAACCTCTCTAGCTATAGGTATCCTACTGTTCAATCCCAGACAAACCACATGACTGAAAGATATACTTACTTAGCCATGAGCGAATTCTGTGCTTGAATTTGTCAATGGAGCGGTTCCCAAAAACCATTTATGAAGCATCCAAACGGATGAAATCTGGGGCACCAATCCATTGGGCACACCGGGACCGGGCCCTCCGGTCGACGCTCAGGTGGCCCCGGACCGGGGAGCTACGACCTGCAGCAGGAGGCACCCGGACCTCGCTACTCCATGAGGCGATCGGAGGGATCGGATCGGTGGTTCCACGCCGGTAGAGAAGAACCTCTCCCGGTGACAAGTAAGGTGGGCCAAGTGCCCCAAGTGCCGTATGTTTGTCAAGATGTTAGGATCTTCGGGTTCAAAACGGCCAGCCACACGCACGGTCGGTGATTCCGCGTGTCCTGCGTTCCGCACACGCCGCGTCCGGTTCTGCGTCAGGCCGCGGCGTGCGCTGCCCTTGCACCCGCATTGTAGTCCGCGGGAGATGCTGGGTGGACCTGCATAGCACATAAAGTGGTGCTAGATGGTGTTAGTCAGGCGGGTGATGTAGGGATCCACCTGAGAGCACGCGTGGTGTTCTTTGTTGCCAGGAACACGGGTGGAGTGATCAGGAGATGCCGGCGTGGAATTTGTCAAAGCAGCGCAGCCTGGTATTGCCACGTCATGGCAACATGCTGAAACTATTGACAAATCATTTTTGAGGCAACTTTGTATGCGTATTTCAATCAGCAATCCCCGAGACGATCCTGAAAACTCCTTTGAAGACTTCAAAGACCTCCCAAAGAACATCGGAGCTTTGGAGTTCCGTTCAATTCGAGAAAAATCAGATGCTCCAAAGGGAAGGGGGTAGTCTTGGAGCGCGGTAGTGCTGGAGTGCCTTTGAAACTTTGCTAATTGTGCTTGAGCAATTCCTGTTGTTGAAAAAGGTGTCACCGCAGCATACCACAGCAGGTGGCCTGAATTCAATCTCCAATAGTTTATGACAAACTGATGGTAAACGTTTTTCTTGAATATAGTAGCTTGACGTTTTTGAGGCACCAACCGTTCTACCAGATTCTACCAGCCATCCTTCAGGTCGCGCGGTGTGCCGTTCTTGCAGTTTTTCGGCCTTGTGGGAGCCACGACACGAGCGCATCTAACGTCAAGACGTACAGGTCTTTGGGGAGACGATGTTCGAGAGAGATAGACTTGTGAAATGTGTGTTTCCAGTCCGAGTCTTGAGTTTTGATCACTGAAGTTACAAAGAAGGAGGCATCGCCCCATACGTGCAGTCTCAGCGAGAGCGTGTTATGGAGGGTTTGGAACTCAAGGGTCTATGCAAAGTTGTTCGCATCCATCCGCAAGGTGCGACATCCATCCGCAAGGTGCGACAAGGTGCTATTCTAGACGCGTGCTGACGTGTTTTTCCTTGCAACCAGCCATGGGCATGCTGTCAGCCCTGGTGCACCTGGTGATTCTGCCAGCACTTTGCGCTCAGCCAGTGCATCAATGGACGGTGCAACGTGGCGGTTCACGCGATGATAGAGGCCATGCGCTGCAGGTGCAGTTCCGGACGACGTCGGTCTTGTTTTCCGAGATTACTGTGGGTAGATGTTCCAAGCCATTGGAGGGTAAATTCTTGCAAATTCCTCCCGCAATGTCTACACCCTAGCAGAAGACTGCACCCCCTTCAGCGAATGGCCGTTTCTGGCAAACATGAATAAGCTTGCGGGCCGTTCGTCGACGATCTATATGGGGAGAGTCTCCGGGGAGAGTCGATATTGCTGTCAGCAAAGGACCTCCACAGGTTGTTTCAGTGGAAGTTCATGTTCTTTTTATTTTGTAGCGCATGAGGTCTGTGCTTTCTTCCATGACTACTTGACTAACTTGACTACTTCTCCGCACAGAAGCACATGGTGACCTTGCGCAGGTGGATGCCTCCGGAAACGCCTGAGTGGCCGGCGACACAAGGAGCTCCCTGGATGGCCACACCAATGCGGGTATCAGCAGCGCGGACGTTTTCCTCATGAAGTTCGACCACACCGGAGTCCACCAATGGACGGTGCAGCGTGGCGGTTCGCGCTCAGATTATGTAGAGGCCGCCGAGGCCCTTCATGCTCCGATCAGAGGAGTTCGGTGGCCAGGTTTTACTGAAAGTAATTGGTGGTTTCGGTGATGTGGTGCATTGCTTTGTTTCTGGAACCTCCAGTTTCAAGTTCTAGGAAGAACTGTGAGTTCCACATGTGTTTTGTTAGCTTTTAGATGTAGTTCTTTTTCCCGAATGCGTAGCGAAGGGTTCTCGTTTAACTCTTGGGGTCTGGGGGTAGAGCCTTGTTCGCGATCCGTTGTTTCTACGTCCGCAACCGTCCGCAACCGTTCGCAGTAGAGCGCTAAGGCGCTGCCATTGGGGGAAGCTTTTGCAAGTGACTTTTCATGGATGTGTCACGTGTCAGTTTGCGACGCTATTCCATTGTGATTTGCATGAAAATGACACGTCGCGCAAGAAGCGTGATGCACTTCGCTGCACAGGCGCAGCGTTTTGTGAGATCCGCAGGTTGCTACGCAGTTCCATTGGGATTAGCGTTTGGAGAGTCGTGTTCTTGGGGTGTTGGACATGGCCGTGCCATTGGGATTTGCGTTTCAGGGTGTGGCATCGAAGCTCTGTTTTCGTGACAAGTCTCAGCTGAAATGCCGATTTTGGTGGATGGGAGTGTGCTCAGAACGCGTCGAAATCATTCCAAACGTGTGGTGTGGTGCAAATTTTGTTGAAGCTGACATGAGATGATATTGTCACTTTTCGTGGCAGGCGCAGTACTTTGTGTGGGCTTTGAGGCGTGGAAGTGCGATTCTCGTGGCAGGCGCAGGGAATGGTGAGGTTGCGAGGTGTGACGGAGGTGACATTTCGTGGCAGGCGCAGTACTTTGTGCGCATTAGACATGTGGATGGAGAAAGATTCGTGGCAGGCGCAGGGAATTGTGAGGTCGTGAGTTGTGGTAGAAGTGAATGTCGCTGTCACAGTGGGATTGGCGTGTGAACGGGTGTTGTTTGGAGGGGCTGGACTCGCGAAACTGCTTGGCAGGGCTGCGTGATGTGTGTGCTCCGATGGGTGTTTCTGCTTGACTTTTGGAGGAAGTCTCGTACGAAATGCTCGTTTTGCAGACTTTGACATGTGACTTTTGGAGGAAGTCTCGTACGAAACGCTCGTTTTGGAGACTTGACACGTGACTTGTGGAGGAAGTCTCGTACGAAACGCTCGTTTGGGAGACTTGACATGTGACTTTTGGAGGAAGTCTCGTACGAAACGCTCGTTTTGGAGACTTGACGTGTGACTTTTGGAGGACGTCTCGTACGAAGAGTGCCCTACAAGAGTGTCCCACAAGAGTGTCCTACAAGAGTGTCCCACAAGAGTGTCCTACAAGAGTATCCCACAAGAGTTTCCTACAAGAGTGTCCCACAAGAGTGTCCCTTAAGAGTGTCCCACAAGAGTGTCCTTTAAGAGTGTCCCACAAGAGTGTCCTACAAGAGTGTCCCACAAGAGTTTCCTACAAGAGTGTGCCACAAGAGTGTCCCACAAGGGTGTCCCACAAGAGTGTCCTACAGGAGTGTCCCACAAGAGTGTCCTACAAGAGTGTCCCACAAGAGTGTCCTACAAGAGTGTCCCACAAGAGTTTCCTACAAGGGTGTCCCGCAAGAGTCTCCCGCAAGAGTGTCCCACAAGAGTGTCCCACAAGAGTGTCCCACAAGAGTGTCCCACAAGAGTGTCCCACAAGAGTGTCTCACAAGTGTGTCCCACAAGAGTGTCCGACAAGAGTGTCCCATAAGAGTGACCCACAAGAGTGTCCTACAAGAGTGTCCCGTAAGAGTGTCCCACAAGAGTGTCCTACAAGAGTGTCCCACAAGAGTGTCCTACAAGAGTGTCCCCCAAGAGTGTCCTATAAGAGTGTCCCACAAGAGTGTCCTACAAGAGTGTCCCACAAGAGTTTCCTACAAGAGTGTCCCACAAGAGTGTCCCACAAGAGTGCCCTACAAGAGTGTCCCACAAGAGTGTCCTACAAGAGTGTCCCAACAGAGTTTCCTACAAGAGTGTCCCACAAGAGTGTTCCGCAAGAGTTCCCTACAAGAGTTTCCCACGAGAGTGTCCTACAAGAGTGTCCCACAAGAGTGTCCTACAAGAGTATGCCACAAGAGTTTCCTACAAGAGTGTCCCACAAGAGTGTCCCACAAGAGTGCCCTACAAGAGTGTCCCACAAGAGCTTCCTACAAGAGTGTCCCACAAGAGTGCCCCACAAGAGTGTCCCGCAAGAGTGTCCCGCAAGAGTGTCTCGCAAGAGTGTCCCTTGAGAGTGTCCCGCAAGAGTGTCCCAAATGAGTGTCCCACAGGAGTGTCCCACAAGAGTGTCGCGCAACAGTGTCCGCAAGAGTGTCTCAAAAGAGTGTCCCTTAAGAGTGTCCCACAAGAGTGTCCCGCAACAGTGTCCCACAAGAGTGTCCTACCAGAGTGTCCCACAAGAGTTTCCTACAAGAGTGTCCCACAAAAGTGTCCCACAAGAGTATCCCACAAGAATGTCCTACAGGAGTGTCCCACAAGAGTTTCCTACAAGAGTGTCCCACAAGAGTGTCCCGCAACAGTGTCCCGCAAGAGTGTCTCACAAGAGTGTCCCTTAAGAGTGTCCCACAAGAGTGTCCCACAAGAGTGTCCCACAAGAGTGCCCTACAAGAGTGTCCCACAAGAGCTTCCTACAAGAGTGTCCCACAAGAGTGCCCCACAAGAGTGTCCCACAAGAGTGTCCTACAAGAGTATCCGACAAGAGTATCCAGTTTGACGGCATGAGTGAGACTAGACATGCAAGACAAGGCACGCGGAAGTATTGTTATGATGGCAGAGCTGTTTGCAAGAGTCAGGATAGCACTAGCAGGCGAGTGATCGACATGGTCACGTCGGGCGCGGACGCTAGTCGAAAGTTCAAGTGCTCAAGCAGATGTGATTTCACGACATGTAAGTACCAGCAATGATGCGAATACAGAGCGTTGTGGTTTCTGGTGAGCACTAGATGAAGCGTTTTTGCTTCCCCGCACGAAGCATCACACTAGAAAGAGGCACCACGCATGAATCAAAAGACGGTTGCATTTTGGACGCGTTTGAAATAGAAAACGTTGGCAACCCAAATAATATCACGTAGAGTGCGCAGAGAGCATATCCCTGACCTTGGTGGTGGTGTCACCAGTGTAGGGGAGCGCGATGTCGCGAAGAGGACGTGCGTACACACGACCTCGGACGTTGTGGGCAGATGACAAAAGAAGGAAGGGTTCGTGGCGAGTGAAGTTGACCTTACTACATGTGCTACTGATGCTAGGGTGTTGCTGGACTATTCTTCTACCTATGACGACCTGGTGGGCGATCCTTGGTATGATATTGATACCTAGCACACTGCGATGCGTGGAGCTGCAACACGGGACCTTGCTACCGCGGCCAAAGGTGTTGCTGGTGGAGTTCGCGCAACTATTTCCTTATCATTGCATTGGATTCTCAGACATGGGTGACATGATGGAGCCTAGACTTAAGATCAATTATTTGACGCGCGTCATAGCTACCTGTTATGTTGCAGCGTTCTTCATGTCATGGTAGTGCGTTAGAGTAACAATATTGTTTTACATTAACCCACGTGGTCGATCACTAGTCTGTCATGCATACTCCAGCGAAACTAAGGCGTTGTTGGGTGTATGTTTTTGCTGCGCCTGGTGCATGGGATTGCACGCAGAGACCCTCCGAAGCTGTCGAATTTACACACTCTTGCTGATCGGATGTGTATCGCATTCTTGGAAGCTGACGTGGCAGTCTCCTGTTTTGTATATCCTCCTATTTTCTTCATATCTATTTCCAATATTTCCTCCAAAGAAGACATCGGATGTCGAGAAAGCAGAGAGTGCCCGCGCAGAGTTGGATGAGTTCATACGAGTACACGGAGAAATACCGTCGCAGCTGTCTGACTTATCCCAGAGTCGGGCAATCTATTCTAAATTGAGACGGCTGAAACTTTTGCACTTGCTGAAGCAGGAAGAGTCTCACGTAGCAGTTTGTAAAGCCACAGACACATTTTTCCAGAAGCATTCGCGGCTACCGAAACGACAGAACCCAGACACGGATGAGCGACGAGCAGAGGACGCCTTGGCGCAACGCTGGGATCGTCTGTTGGCACAGAGAGCCTCACTGGGAGATGCTCTACTGACTACCTATGAGCGACTGTTCAT